ATGATAACAGCACCTATCTCCCAGGGTGGCTGTGAGGATCCAAAGAGGTTGTATCTGTAAAGTACTTGGCAGGCCTTCAAACGCTCCATAAACACTGCCGGCAGGGCTACTAAGTATTACAGTGAGAAGCAGAGACGATGAGAGTCCTGGCCCTAGGCAGTGGCTCACAGACATCACGAGAGCCAGCTGACATCCAGACAGGCACTCCCTCCACACCGTCCCTGCCAGGGGGCGCCGTTCTCCCTTGGACAATGGCACTCTGCTAAGCCACTGCTCAGACAACAGCGTATCTGCTACACCCCAATCCGCCTCTTGGTTGTTTCCATTCCCCCCGTGGCCCTGCATGATCGCTCCAAGCCCTCTTTCCCACAGGAAGGTCCTTCGGACCTTGGCAGACAACTGAACTGCCCTCTCTCCCTCCTTCCATCCAGCTTGGTAGCTTAGGATTTCTTGTCCCTGCACCATCTTGGTCCTCTTCTACTGGGTCTATTCCAGCTGATCAAGGTCCTTCCTAAAACATGGCACCCAGGACTGAAGCAAGTGCTTCTAATGGGTCAGAGTTCACTCCCTTCTATCACAACAGGCCTGTCACCTCCCCCACTCTGGAGACTGCATCTCTATCAGTCCAGTTTAAAACCAAATTGCTTCTTGAGTTACCATGTCACCCTGGGGACTCAGAATGAGCTCCAGCCTATGAAAACCCCCAGGTCCCCTTCATGTAAATGGCTACCCAGGCCCTTCTTCACACGCTGGCAGGGAGCCAGGAGACGCTTCGACTGTCTGCATGCTGACTAAAAGCAAGACAGCGGAAAAGGTCCTTGCTGATAGTGTCACTGGCTCTTCTGTGGCAGATCCTGACCAAGAAGGAGGAATGAAGGCCAGCAGAAATCCCCACCCTCCTTCTGGACACATCATTTCTGCAAATGCAGCCCAAGGCTCTTTGGCTGCTCCATTGGACTTCTGATGAACACCGCCCTTGTGTAATCCACTAATTGCTGTGGGGGTGGCTACGGGTGCCTCCCCACAACCCCCCTTTTCGGGTGCACCCGACGTCTGGTCTGATTCGAGCCATACCGGTCTCGCCTGGCCAGTCCTTTCTTTCACCTGGATCCTGTCCTCCAAATGTGTCAGCCCTTCTTGCCGGCTTTGGGTAATCTGTAAATTGGAGAAACACGCCGTCTAGGCTTTCATTCAGGTCACTGATAATGCTGAAAAGAATGGGAACGAGGACAAATTCTCCTAATGAAATCAAATGTTTAAACGACTAAAAATGAAGAGATGAGACTGCTACCCAACAAATGAGGCCTCACAGAATCTCAGGGCCAGAAGATGCCTGAGAGCATTTAGTGTGCGCAGTGGAAAGGACAGCAGGTTTGAAGTCAACAAACTAGGGTTCAAATCACCATTTACTTTCTGTGTGACTTTCCTCCTCCTTGCTCCCTCCGGGCCTCACTTTACTGCTCTGCAGAATCAGGGGGGTTGGACTGGCCCCCCCTAGGCTCTTGTCCAGCTCTAGAACCACTGTGCAGTCTTTACCTGAATCATAAATCCCCTCTGTAATATTCCTTCCAGTGGTCACCCGGGTTTTGCTTGAGGACCTCCAGCAATGAAGGATTCACTGCTGACCACGGGAACCAACCTATCATGCTCCTGGCAAGGTCTAATTATTAGGCAGTTATTGCTTATACTGAATTTAAACCTGTTTCTCTGGGTCATCTACCCACAGGTCCTGGTTCTGACCTTTAGGGACAAACAAAACCAATCTAATCTCAGTTCTCCATGACGACCCATCCTCCCAATACTGAACGCCTCTCTCCTTACTCTGCAGCCTTCGTTTTCTAGCCTTAATACTGTCAGGTTCTTCAGCTGGTCCTCTCCCGGTCTGGGCTTGAATCCCTTCATATCCACATGTACTCCTCTTCTGGGCCTGGTTTCCAAAGTGTGGCGCTCAAGGTAAAGGGCGCAGGACTGCAACCTCTGATTCTGGGTACCCTGCCAAGCCGCCCACAGATCCTGCCTCGCGTGTCCCTTGCTAACTCCTCCCGGCCTGTAGCCGGAGGGCCTTTAGAGCGCCAGGGTCACCCCGTCCAGGCCCTGAGGACCGCTCTGCTGGTAGCTGACAGGGTGACTCTGGACACGTTCCTTCAGGTCGTACACAGATGAGCTGGTTTCTAACTCTGTGTCCCAGTGAAATTTTTCTTGGTAACTGTTGCGTCCTTTGGCAGTAAAGAGGTGAGCTAAAGACAGGCTGGTTAAACATACTTTCCATAATTTCTGTTCTAACACTGTCCTGAAGTTAAAAGGGAGACAGATCCCCAGACAAAATTCTGACGTTTTTAAATGGAAATGAATTGAACTTCATTGTTTTACAGACTGAAAAGATAGTCAATTGAAAGGGCTTACTTTCAAGCTAAATGGTGGTTTTGCCCCAAAAATAGTTTTAAAGGGACTAAGATAAACAACAGAGTTCAGGAATAGTTTTGAAAGATACAAGTGCAAATGAAAATCCCAACTTCCAAATGTTCAGTATTTTTCTGTGGGCCCTGCACCCCCTTGGTTATTTGTCTGGATGAAAAGTTACAAGTGTCTTCTTCTCCACTACCCTGGGGGGGGTCACATCTTCTGTTCAAATATTAGGGTTCAATAAGGTCATATATATAGGTCCAGAGCAAGAAGGGATCTTAAGAGGCTATATTTAGTAGAACCCTTTCATTTTACAGATGAGGAAACTGAGACCCAAAGAGGCTAAGTGACTTGCCCAGGGCCTCACAGGTATAACCAGGAGAGTAGGGGGAAGCTCCTGATGCCTTTCTTTGCAGCTGACTTTTGCCTTAGTAGGAGTTCTTGGTTGGCAAGTTGGATCATGAAATCCTGAAGCTTTGAAAGGGACTTTAGAGGCTATCTATCTGGTACAACCTACTGATTTTTACATATGAAGAGAATGAGGTCATAAGTATCTATTACAAATTGTCAAAAGCTGTGCCACCACTAGCCACATATTAGAAACTAGGCAGATATTCTTATTCCAGCAGTTTCTGTAGCATATTGGCTTTGCTCTCATGCATCTAAGGCAGAAGAACATGAGATTCCACTGGCTCTGACCAACAATCCGCCCACCCCAAGAACTGCCCTTTGAGAGTGACTGAACTGCCAGCATCTTCTCTCCCTAGAATACTCCTCTGTTGGAAAAGTGGGGCCACTGCCTGTCATGACACTGTCCTCCCGGGTGCGAAGTAAACATCAAAAGGCCTTAACTTCCCTCTAAGAACACCACTATGGACAGCAACGGTGTCATGGGAATTTAGCTGGCTCTGCAGAGGTAAGGGGAGAGTACAACTGCTCAGCCTCAACAGACATATGGAAACTGTTGTTTGTAAAGGGCCATGGTAACTTTAATGACCATGTGAGAATGGACACGGCCACTTTAGTGCTGCCCCATTAAAGCAGTCCCTCTGAAAAAACATATATATGCACTTCAACAATACGCCAATATTCAAGACATCTGGGGAACTTTTTTAGAAATTGCTTTTAGAAGGCAGAGCCATGCTCCTGAACATCTTCCATGGGAACAAACTTTAATCCTTGGAGAAGAGGTTTGATTTTTTTGAAACAGCCCAGTTACATGGCTCTAAGTCTTGGGCACATGGTGGGAGGACCAATATTTTGGTCAAAAGTGAGGTGCAATTATAAAGTGAGGAGACCAGTCTTCTTCTGGTTCATAAGCTGGACAGGAAGACAATATCCAAATGGGCTTTCCAAAAATGCTAGCTTCATAAGCTGTTTTATGTCTTTAGAAGCTCATCCTCGATTGGCCAAAATACTCAGACCATAAGACAGAGATTGTCCAGTCTTCCATTTTTAAAAAACTGGCACAAGGAAAATATTTAACAAAATGGGTTTCAGCAAATGTTTTAAAACCAAAAAAGCAATAAAGCTTAGAAACCAAAGACTTCACTCCCTGGACATACAGGCAACTTGATAAATACCTGCCATGTATTGTCAAAATAGAAAAGTGAAAAACAAATACACTCTTCATATCACACCAAAGCTGCAGGGAATCTGCAGCTGTGAAGATGTGTCTGGGCTTAATGGAAAAACCAGTGGACTCCATGTTCTGGCCCCATCACAGGCAGCTATGTGATCTCCTTGCTGCAGAGCCAGCCTAGGTTTTCTCACTGAAGTCTCATATACTCTGCTGGCACGGCCTCAGAGAGCCACAGGGCACCTCTGGGCATGGGGAAGCCAGGCATGACACTCAAGAGATTCTCTATATCACCGGCAGAAATCTTCAAAACAGTTATAACCACTCTTTGTATCATCATGGCCATAACAACAACAGTAACTTACACTTACATTGTGCTTTAGACGCATAACTACCCTATCCATTATTTCCCCTGGTTCTGCAATGCAGAAATGACCCAGAAGCTGACCTCAGGTGCGTGTAAGAAGAAACTCACTCATTTAACATGAGACTCTGGAAGAGGAATGAGCTGCCTGGGGAGAGCCCAAGTCAAGAGAGGCTGTTCAGACGGTGGAAGGGGGGTTCCTGGTCAGGCCCAGATGGCCTTGAGGTCCTTTTCAACCTGGTGATTCCATGACAACTGCATGAAGGTGTGATGAGGCTCAAAGGAGAATGTGACAAGGCTATTGATCCATAAAGCACAATGTACATGGAAATTATTGGGGCATAACTAATAGGTGAAAAGGGAGTAGAGGAACTGGGATAATTTTTCCTGGGGGTACAGAGAACCACCATGAAGTCCTGCTGCACCATTTGCTGGGGTGCCCTCAGTTTTCGAAGGCTGGCCCAGCTCCAGCCACAGCCCCATTGTTCCTGGACTGTCCTAGCTAATTCTGGAGGCTCTTCTCCTTAAGTCAAGTGACAGTAATTTAGGGAATGGTATCACTAAGGCACAGAGAGCTGCAATCTGGTCTGTGGAGAGAGTACCCACACTGATGAAAATTCGGGCTCTTAGGAAATAAGGGCAGAAAACACTAACCATGGTTCATCTCATTTTCCTCTTCATCCATTGGATTAACATGGGTTCTGGGCCAATACTCTAGGAGAGCTTGCAGTAAAAGCCCTCCCAAGTTCACTGTAAAGAGAGTTCACATTAATAAAAAAAAAAAAAGAAGAAAAAGATTATGAAAAACAAATTATGTTCCCAGCTATTTCACTGTGCAAATGCCAACAGAGTGTGAGGCTGTTGATACAAGTCCTTCTCAGGGACCTCATTTATCCTGTGTTCCTGGAGGCAGCAGTGCTAGCCTCTGAAAGACCATGCCAGGGGAGGGACCTCCATGTGAGCCAGGGAGTCCGGGCCTGGTCACACTGGCCATGCTGTCCAAGGGCCACAGTAAGTAAAGGAAATTGAGAGCTTTATCGTAAGCAGGCCAGTTGCTAGGGGATTTCATTCTTAAACGCAGTTATTTCAGTAAGAAACTTAAAAATTTGAAGATCTGCAGATAAAATTAACTCTTGAATAATCTTGAAAACTATTTGATAATACAGGAAAAATTTATGTTACTAAAGCTTATATACTTGGATTGACTTTAACCCACCATTATAAAAGTAACATGACCTTTGTCTGATTTGTCTGGGCCAAGAATGAGTTACTTTCAGCTGAATAGCAACGCTATTTAGCGCTACTTTCATATACAGTCATTTAAAAAAAAATTATTAACTGCTTCTTTTGAAGGGCTACTTCTGAATGAAATTGCCAAAAACTTCTCTCAGAAAAGCATTGTAAGACAACTTAAATTCTATATTCTTGTCCTTCTTGAATGAGATCTCGGGCTTGGGAAGCCCTGGACAAGACAGAAGGAGCCCTTTATTGGAGCAGGGGTCCTCAGCCTTGCTCCATCACTAGGAGGATGGTCCCTGAAATTCCAGGGCAACCTACATAACAAAGAAAGTTAACAGAAACTCACATTTTGGATCTGACCCATCTGGGCTGCTAAAACCAGCATCTTTTGCTGAAACCCAAGCGGCAAAGCAGTCACTCTCATCCAGTGTAATTGTCAACATCTGGTAAGATAAGATCATCAGAAGGCATTTTCCTTGACCCTAACCTTGATGTTTTACCTCATGTGACAACAACATATTTGGTTAAAAACAAACACTTTTAACCTGGCTTTACATAATCGGATTAATCTACAATGTATTACTTACATTTGAAAGTTATAACTTGCATGTCCATAGACCGTAAACCCCTTGAGGGCAAGATGCTGTGTCACTGTTTATCTTTAGATCCCCAGTACCTAGGCAGTGCCTTCCATGAATGTCTAATGTATCGGACTCTAAGCTTAGGGTACTGCGTGGCTCATAAGGACTGAAATCAACTCCCTTTAGTCTCTTCAGTCCCCATCTCTCTGTCAGTAACAAAGCCCAACCCGCTCATCTATTTGAGAAAAATCACAACTGCCGCAGGATGTCCAGGCTGCCCAGCTTCCCACAATGTTTATAAACTTACCCCAGTTTTTAAATCAACCGAGAACCAATTTGGCACATACACCATTTTAAATCTTTTCTTAATTTCTTCTTCAAAATCCACTTTGCCAAGATCTTCAACTTTACATGCCTGCATTCCAAAAATGTTAAGAAAAGTAGAGCAATTACTGACTGGACTCAAGAACACCCAATTCTGAATATGCAGCTTGTAGTTTTACAAGATGTTTCTCTGGAGAAGAATGGAGTTTAAAATGCTTGCTAAAAAAACAAACCAAACCATGGTAAATCACTCCCGTTTAAGGCATTCCTGTACAGTAACTAACCACTAGCCAAAACCACACCCCTTAAAATGTTTTTAAAAATGACCCTCCTCGGGGCAGCTGGGTGGCACAGCAGATAGAGTACCAGCCCTGGAGTCAGGAGGACCTGAGGTCAAATCCAGTCTCAGACCAGACACTTGACACGTACTAGCAGTGTGACCCCGGGCAAGTCACCCCACTGCCTAGCAAAAATAAACAAACAAAAAATGAGCCTCCTCTTTTATAAGCCTATAATTTGCTGAACCCCGAGAAGAGCACAAAGTGATCTAGAGATTCCTTCGAGCAATCTCAATCAGAAGCATCCAGAACACGTGGGAGAAGCCAAGGTCTCCACGTAGCAAGCTAACTGCCACGAAGGCCAAGCACTCGGCTCCCACCCAGGTAAGGGCGTGATACGGGAGCCTCTCTTTGGGGGCTTCCTTGTTTTCACCTTTTACTTCTTACCATCATCTCCCCCTCCCCTTTTTTGCTGGTTCCTCTTCTTTGCCCTATTCTGTAAGTATCCAAGAGTTTCTCAACTTACTTCTTTAACATCCTTTACTGTGCTCGTCCCATCCACTGTATGTGGATTGGCTCCTAAAACCAACGCCTCTTTCCTCAGGTCTGGTCCACGTTTCCAACTGCCTACCAGCCACGGCCACCTGCATGCAACACTGACATATTTTTTCTCCCAAACTTGCTCCTCCTCCTTCCTATTTCTATTAATGGTGTCACTCACCATTCTCTCAGTCAACCAAGCTTGGAAGGCCATAGTCTTGACTCCACCCTCCCTCCCCCTTTGCTCCCACATTCTACCGGTCCCTAAGGCCTAATGATTCCCTTGAATGCAGCTCCTACCCCACTAACTTATTCACTGGTCATGAAATCTCCAAGTTCCATGCCTCCCCTCCCTCCCAACTTCCATCAAATCTGCAGGCTATCACCAATTTAATCTCAAGGATGTTCAGAGACAGAACGTTGACTTTTGGCCCAAGCCAAGACAGGTGAGATTGAGTCCTAGGAGTTAAACAAGCCCACCTTTCCCAAAGTCCTTGAAACCTACCGAATGAAATCCAAACTTCTTATCCTGACATTTGTGGTCTCCACAACCTGATCCTAATTTATCTTTCCATTCAAACTGGCCCAAGCCTCCTTCCTCAGATAGGCCTTCCCCTTCCTCACTTGTGATTTTCGGTCTCCAATGCCCCTTCTTCTCTCACTTGCCTTTCACATTCCAAAACCACCTTCTCTCTTCCTATCCCTAGCCCAAAGTGACATCTTCCTCCTAACCTTTGGTAGCATCCTATCATACAGTAATAAATCTTGTCTTCCCAACTCCAGAGCTATATACCTTCTGAGGGGAAGGACCAAGTCACTTCATGATGGTGTAGCCCCTCCCGTGGATGAACATAGAGTCCTCCTCAAAACACAAGCTGCGCTAAGGAGGGACAGCTAATTGGAGGGAGGGAACAGGAAAATGACAAAAATTGGGAAATTCTTTTCCGTGGTTAGTTTTTCAGGACAGTGCTGAGGGACCATTTTGGTGCTGGGGCAGACCCCTCACTAGCCCCTGAGAATAACACAACACTGAAGAGAGTAATCATCAGTTACTTCAGAAATCTGCTTATGAGCAATGCTGCACACTCACCCCCTAACAATGCCAGAGAAAATAATTCCGTGAGTACAATTAAATCACATACAAATGTCATCTGGAACAACTGACTTGATTTTTTATAATGAGGAGGACAAGCAGACCAGAACCAGGGTCTAACAGCTAATGTAGATCACACTCACCTTTAGGACATCCCAATATGCCACATTATTGTTGGTGTCTTTGGTTAATAGATGCCTCTTATCATTAAGAATGTGGCACTGAATAATACTGGCACCTCCTATGCAGGAAAAGAACAGAATTTGTTAGCAAGGCCTTGGTGGCACTGGCCCAAAGCCAATTACAGAGAAGTTGGCACATGCAGCATCCAAAGAACTCAAGGCAAAGTGGTCTTGGGGGCAGACCCTTCAAAGGCAACTTCAAGCCCTCCAATTCTATCCCTACAGAAAAAGGTTTTCGTTCAGGTCACCCCTGGAATTTCACACCGGGGTTAGGCTATCCTGGTGTGGACCCATCTTTCCCTGAAGCACACTGGTAACTCAGCGGCAATGGATGGCTGTAGAGGGCCTCCCGGGAGTTAACATGAAGGAGTTAAGTGAACTGTGGGTTTTCAACATTCAGGTGTATTTCAGAGGCAGGACTCCAGCCCACGTCTGGTACACTGGTGACCCTCTATCTGCCGCATCACTCAGAAATGGTTTCATTTTGGCACATGTCCAGGAATGGTTATTTGACCCATAGCCTTGTATTTCCAATTATAAATAATTTGGAGTGAGTGGTTTTATGTACAAACAATCAGAAATCCTATTTTGTTTCCTTTGCTAAAAGCTGTTGTTCAGTCATTCAAATTGTATTCGACTTTTCATGACCCTATTTGGAGTTTTCTTGGCAGACATAATGGAGTGGTTTGCCATGTCCTTCTCCAGGAGATTAGTAAGGCAAACAGAGGTTAAGTGATTTGCCTGGGGTCACATGGCTAGTGAGTGTCTGAGGCCAGATCTGAACTCAGGTCTTGCTGACTCCAGGCCTAGTGCTCTGTCCACTGAACCATCCGGCCGCCTAAGTTTAAAACAGAAAACTGTAAGAAAAAAAAAATGTGTGGAATGCTTCAGTCAGAAATGATGCTTTAAACTTATCAGCAGATAGATCTAGAGAAAGAAACCTTGTAACACTCCAAGGCTGCTCAAGGAATACCGACTAGAGCACTAGACAGCAGCCTCTTCTGAAGGCTGGACCAGGCCTATCTAATCATCACCTCCTCTAGCACCTAGGACACCTCTCGGATGACAGGAGGCTGTAGCACAAGAAACAAAAAGCCCCCTCTGATGGAAAAAAGAACGGCCCAGGGTGTCCGAAAAGAACTTCTGCTCAGTGAAAAATATAAAGTGTCGATGGGTACTGCAGCTATCATCAATCAGATGCTGAAGAGGACCGCTGACACATGGTCCGTGTGTAGAACACAGACCCATCGCTCTCACCGTGGGACAGACTAAGCCCATTTACCTCGAGGGGATTCCTACATGGGTCTGACTTGGATGACATGGCCTCGGAGGTCCCTATCAACTGTATCTTCTGGGATCGTTCCCTGAGCAGCAGTGGGCTTCAACTGGACTGTTTCCACACTCTTTCCCCCAGCCTCTCTTCTGCGTCTGTACAGCTATTTGGGACTTGGGCATCAAAGCACCAACGGAGGTGAAAGTCACTCACTAGACACCGTTCCCAAATCCCGACCACACCAGCTGCAGAGAGGTGGGGCTTGCTTAACTCTAGGACTCAATCTCACTGTCTTGGCTTGGGCCCGAAGCCAGCGTTCCATCTCTGAACATCCTTGAGATTGATGTTGATACAGAATGTGACTATTTTAAGAGCGCAAACACATGAAGTCAAAGACCTGTGGCCAAACAAACTCCAACTTATGACACCAAACAGCATTTTCTTAGAGGTTTCCCTTACATGAAAGACAACGCACCTCATTTATCTCTCCCTGAATTGGCACTTCTGCTAAGGAAAGGCTGGGCTGCTCTTAAACAAAGCCTTCCTAATTATTGCAGCGGTCTAATCTCCTTCTTTACCTTTAATAGCTTGATCAGGCTGTGTACAAAGAGGTGTTACAGGGTTGCTACAGTCATTGTCGTAATCTCCAGAAGCTCTCAAATTATGAATTCCCTTCAAAGTCTAAAAAAGTAAACAAGAATGAGATTACTTGATCGTTTTACAAGACTGCTGGAAATGTGAGCACAATAATCCCCAACACCTGGATCTCTGACAAGCTGTTGGTTTCTTATGGTGATAAAAACCAAGAGGAAACACAGTCACAACCACAATTCTGAGCACAATACCCTGAAAACACAAAAGCACAAGGGGAAAAAATTAACAGAGAGATGGCAGCCTGATGGCACCACTGTACAATTTTAGGACTGGAGACCCCGTGACATCATCTAGTCCCATCTTCTCCTCTTTTTCCATGTGAGAAGCTGAGGCCTAAATGCACAGCTGGTTACAGGCAATCTTCATTAGGAGAAAAAGGGCAAAAATGAGGAAGACTCTTCCACAGCCAGAATCTTCGACTTCATTATTGGACAGTTTAAAAGTTGCTGGGGCAGGCCTATTTTCCCAGCAGTGTTTTACCTCCCAGACCATTTTCCCTCTTTAAGGAAGAGGGCAGCCAAGGTTTTTCACTTTATTATCCATATTTCTCTCTAGGAGTATGACTCAGATCCTTCCTGGTGGCAAGGAGGTGACCCTTTGTCCAGGTAGTGCCAGTGCCCGGCCAGCTGGAAAGGCCTCAGGAGGCCTTGTTTGGGGACTTGACGCTGCCACCCAAGGACCAGGTTAGTTAAGCTTAAAAAGGCTCTCTTGGCCGGCCGCCAGAGCTGGCTACCACGCAGGGAGGCCTACAGCTTTTACTGGCAGAGGCAGGACCTACAGTGGGTGAAATTTCCACCCCATGAAGTAACGAAGCCCAAGTGTCCATGTTAAAACACTTCAGTCATAAGAAGATCAAAACTGTATTAAGTAAGCAAACATAATGAATGCAACAGTGCTTTTGATTCTGTTCTAAGTCAATCATGCTGCTCCTCAGGCTCGCACAGAAAAGAAAAAGCAATTGTCTAAATTTGGTCCACTTCACCTTGGGTTTAGTAGGAAGACAAGGAGCCTTCTGAATCTGCTGCTTAGGCAAGGACCAGCACACCTCCTGGGTTCAGAACATAGTTTCCCTTCTACAGAGGCCACGGCTCTCACAATTCCTGCACGTGGTGCTTCTCAGAGCCATCTCTGGGGCACACGAGCAGATATGAACAAATGGCAGTATGGGCTTACACAGCTTAGCAATCAGAACAGAAACTCACCCATTTATTCACTGAAGACTTTGTGGTTGCAACCCAAATTGCAGGTGGAGGATCAGCTGACTTATCAAGCTCCATCTGGAAGACACAAATCCCGAACATGAGGACGGCTGGCCAGCCAGCTGTTCTCCAGAGCCCTCGGGGAGCTGGTCCCCCACCCCGATCCCTCTTCCCTTTATGTGCTTCTTCATATGCAGCTGTGGTAGCATTATACCATTAATGCCCAGCAAGATCAAATTTCTAGATGTTTTTAAGCAGGTTGCCAACTGGAATGCCCAACTGGAAGCTTTTCCAATATGGTGGATCACACTGCCTGGAATTCTTTAGGAAAATGGCAAAGTGGCCAATTCGGTGAAAAGGAAGCCCACAGAAATCCTCGCTTGTGTTTTAAGCCCCTCTGGTAAAGGGTAGGGGGAGGGCCGAGGAGGAGGAGGCAGACCTTCTGCTCAGGCATTTCCTCCCAGAACAGCCTCAGGGGCCTTCACTCCTTTGAAGAGGTTTGGGTTTATCTGTGACCTTTGAGATTTCACTGTAGACTAACTCCTTTCTCCAGACAGAGGCTAGCACAGATGCCTGAGGAGTCTGAGGGCTTCCATCTTTTCATCCAGAGCAGGGGATCTTAACCTTTAGCGTGTCATGGACCTCCTGGGCAAGCCTATGGACCCCTTCTCCCTAACTAGTATTTAAACGCATAAAATAAAAATACAATGCACAGGATTACAAAAGAAATCCATTTTACTTACACACAATGATCAGGATATTTGTGAAAACAAGTTCACAGGCTCTAGCTAAGAACCCATGACTGGGGAGAATTCCTGCCCTTTGTTTTATGTCTCCACAGACAGTTTCTTCTTCCCAACCAAAGCCTTTCCTCCAGCACCCAATCCCACGAGGATTCCATTTTAAAGAGCTACTGCTTGTACCACCATCATCACTGTCACATTTTCACACAGAATGTCCTCTTACCTTGAGAACAGGGGCTTTCTCTTCACAAATCAAGACCCGTATATCAGGGTTTCTCAGATCAGTACAGTAAATCTTTCGGTCTCTTCCTCCAGAACACATGAGTAAAGGCTTCATTGACCTGTAAAGCCCACACTCCCTCATCATGTACTCGATAAGTTGCTATACATCTCTGTTGTCCGAGGGACCAGAGGCGGATAGTTCCATCAGAACTGCCAGAAAGGCACTAGGTAAAACAGCACAACAAAGACTGGGTCAAGAGATGGCCCACTCCCTGCCATCCCCCACGAACCCTGAGAAAGGAGGGGATCACCAAGGTCTCTGTGTCCACCTTTGGGATTTAAAGCTATTCAGGACAACACAGTCCAGATGAGATGCTGCAAAAGCCCATTAGCCTTGCTTTGTTTTCATTTTTAAAATGCTGAACAAATCAAATAAAAAATAAAAATGTGGGGATTTGGTAGATGAATTGAGATTAAGTTTTTTAAATATTCTGGAGATGACTACATAAATTCATTTTGTTAAAAAAAACTACCATATCAGGGGAAAAATTTGACATGAAACGTCTCTGGGACACTTCGAAGATATCTTTAAAACTATTTTAACAATCACGAAAAAGTTATTAACAATTTTGTTGTTCAGTCATTTCAGTCATATTCGACTCTTCATGACCCCATTTGGGATTTTCTTGGCAAAAACACAGAAGCAGTTTGCCATTTCCTTCTCCAGCTCATTCTACAGATGAAGAACTGAGGCAAACAGGGTTAAGTGACTTGCCCAAGGTCACTCAGCTAGCAAGTGTCTGAGGCCACATTTGAACTCATGAAGAGGAGTCTTCTCGACTCCAGCCCAACGCCCTCGGCACTATGGCGCCACCTAGCATCCAGATGAGCAAATCCGTCTGAGTACCTGAGTCCCATCTCTGTTGAGCAGCAAAGCTTTCACATTGTCCGTGTGCCCTTTAAGTTTCATGAGCTTGGCACATGTTCTTGGATCCCAAACCCTCAAAACCTGTGAAACGCAAACAGAAAAGAAGGACACAAATGTAAACTGCACAAGACACCACATTTAAGAGAGAAAAAGCACAATCACATCACATGTGCACACGCACACACCCCCCACACCCACTATGTAAGGGCAATCAGCCAGGTTTTTCTCTTGGTTCCCAACCACTCAGTCCCTTGACACAGATAACACACTTGAGCGTCCCACTGACCTTCTCCGTGGACCCGGATACAATGATGGTTCCCAGCTGATTCATTGCAAGACTATAAATGGAATCTTTGTTCCCACTTAGAGAAGAAGCTATTGGGGGACAGGGGGAGGAAGGGGGAAAACAGAACTAAATGTTACCAGTCACCAGGAGTTAGCAAAAACTCTAACTGTAAAGGGCTGTTTAATTTAGAAACCAATTACGATGTCATTTTTATAACTGGCTTTTAGGGAGAAACAAAAAGATCTAAAGAGAGATTCATTTTGATAAGCAATCTTTACTGATTTCACTAAAAATTAATATTGTTAGAAAAATGTTCTTTTCAAAAACCTCAAAACACGACCAGTCGAAAATAATTCACTTGATCAAAAACCTATTTGCTGCATCCATGCCTGGAGCGCAGCAGCCCTGCCTCATCAGAACTGGTTTGTTGCAGCTGCTTCTGTCTCCTCCAACACTAGCAGACTCTAGTGACCCTAATGAGAAATGCATTTGCCCCACACAGAAACCAAGTTCAAGAAAATAATCAGTGAGACCAAAAATGGGACCACACAGCCTCGGGCCTTCCCCATTTTCTTGGACAAAGTTAAGTTTAAAGTGCTACAAAGGGGAACAATTTTTGAACCAATCCCAAAACTTGTCCTGTCTACTTACCAAGTCACCCCATGCATTAATAAAACAAAGTCTTTACTGTCCAATGAAAGTGGAAGGGTTTGATGAGAACCTCACATCAGCTTGCTCAGGACTGGTCTATGAGAGAGGTTCATCACCAGGCTGGATGCACGGAGATGGTTTTGGGGCTGTGGCAACTTTCAAAGATTATTCTCTGGAGCACGGAGAGATTAGTCTATGCTGGCAGAGAAAGGCCTCACCCAGAGGTAATCCCAGGGTCTTTCAGGATGGAGACAAGAAAAAGAGAAGCTCTCTGTGCCAGGTCACAGGCCTATGAAGACCAAGAAAGATGCTGGCTCTGTCCTGAGGAACTTAAATAAGACATGTGCACCATCACTAAAATGTGGAGGAGAAGAATTCCAGCTGGAGGCCAAGGGACCAGGTTGGAGAATGGGTATGATGAACTGAATGAGGAAGTCTGCAGAAGCAGCTGTGGAGGGGGGTCTGCCAGAATGGGACAATGCAGATGCACTGAGCACAAGAGTGATGTAAGGAGAACTGGGATTGCATTTATCAGCACCAAAGGTATAGGTCATGACCGGCTCTGGGCTACAGGAGCTGATGCTCTTAAGGGGTCCAGCTCTATACCTAGGCAAACACAGTCAAGTAGGCACTGGGCTAAGTGCTAGAGATGCAAAAAGAAAAAAAAGACAGTTGTTGCACTTGAGAAGCTCACAGTCTACTGGGGAAGACAACAAATACGTAAAAACAAGCTACATACAGGAGAAACAGGAGGTAATTAACAGAGGGAAGGCACTTGAGGTAAGAGGGGTTGGGGAAGATGAATTTTAGTTGGGACGTGGAGGAAGCCAGGGAGGTCAGTAGTCTGAGCAGAGGAAGGAGAGTGTTTCAGGCTTGGGGAACAGTCAGAGAAAATGCTCAAGAGATGGAGTGTCTTATTTGTGGAACAGCCAGGAGGTGGCTGTCACGGGATCGAAAAGGACAGGGTAGGGAGTACTGTGGAAGAAGTCTGGTTCTGAATGAAAGGATCAGGCTAACCTGGTATCCGGTAATGACTCAAGTCTTATGAGGAAGAGTCTCCAGCATTCAGAACGCTCTTTCCCCTTGCTCATCACTCCCATTTGGAGAAAGAACAAAGCAGGCTTGAGTGTCTAAAGTGCTTGGACCAATCCAGACTCCCTGGGCACTCCCTGCTCCCTATTCCTATCCCCTGGGTTGGCCTCCTGGATGACAACATTCATGCTCTGATGGTCTTCCAAAGTTTATGTCCTAATGGGATGAGAGGGAAGGCTTGGGGACCTACAGATGAAAAAGGGGAGTCTCATGACAACTGTGAACGTGCATGGCCCTAGACTGGAAATGCACTGAGTGACCAGTAATGATGTTTTTCGGCCTGCAGGTGCTCAATCTAAAAGAACGACACTTTCTTGAGGAAACAGCAGTAGCTTCTGCAGCAGCAGCACAGGACAGAGGCAGAGGAGGCCAAGTGAAGGACCTGGTTCAAAGCAGGAGCTGCAGACACTAAAACCCAAGCAGCAATGAGGCACAGCTCTGAGGAGGAAGAACTAATCCAGACCTTGTTCTTCACTGTAGTGTGAGTCATTCTGGGGAAGAGGAAAGCATGACCTTTTAGCCACCAGGAGGGTCCCCACTGTTTGGTGTGCTCTCCACCCAAAAGTCACTCTTTGCAGTCCCTGCCTATTTTCTGCCACTGTAACCAGTATTACAAAGACACAAGGGGCTTTATAACACTAAAAGTCACTTTGTACTCTGTCTGCTTCACGAGTTATGCGGCCCAAGAACTGATCCTCTATTGGTCAGCCTGGGCACAAGTCTTTCCTTAGTCAGTCAGGCTGGTTCTCTGACAAGACAGTCTCTGGTCTTTGCCCAGGTCTGTACTCAAAGACCTTTTGGCTCTGGAGAACTCATCAGAGCTGGCACAGTGCTTAGGTGCCCTTCAAGAACACAGAGTCACCTCCATGCTATGAAGAGGCATCAAGAGAGAATTTCTGTAACAGCTTCCCATAACAATCTTTCAAGTATTTGAAAACATTGGTTACACTAAACCCTTAAGTTTACTCTTCTTCTGGCTAAATAGAGCCAGTTTTATTTTATGTAAGGGGCTCCCAAACTTTCTCAGTTCAAGGCACTCTTTATGTCATAGCAATTTTTTCAATGACTCCCTATGCCAAAAGAAGTACCATGTATTAAGAAGTTAGGCAAAAAATTTAAACTATCCTGGGGTGCTCTGTGCATTCACTGTGGTGCCTCAACACACAGTTTGGGAACCACGGCCTTCTGCCATCATTTCAGTTGACCTACTCTGCACACAATTCAGTTGTCAAAAGAATCACAGAATAGAAACCATACTTCTAAAAACTAAAGGGATGACTAGTAAGGATTAGAATCTTTTCCAAGGTAACAAAATGAATTAGAAATCCTATTTTGAATTTCTAATCTATTTCTCACGTGAATAAGGGGTTGGTGTAAGGAACTGATGTATGTAATAAAAGCTCCAACAAGTAACTGTATTTTAAGCTTCTAGTATGCAGAGGCTACCCACCTACAGGACCTACAAGAAGGACATGTGAAATTAGGTACTGGATTAATCCTTCAGAAAGATGATGATGGTAAACCATCATGAACTAGAAGGATTCCTAACTTTAAAAGGCTGCTTTGCACCTACCACAGGATTCATACACCCTATAGAATCTTTCCCTCTATCCCACAAGTATTTCCCATCTTGCCATTTGGCTAAGGGTTCTTAACCACATATGCAACAATCTTTTCCAATCCCCAAAGTGGTCTACTTCACATTTTCCTGATGCGCCACTGTCAACATCAACAATCACTGATGTCACGCCTCCTATGTGTGAGGCACTACAGGGCTACAAAGAGGCATTAGATTGGGTTCTTGATTTCAATGCTCCCAGGCCAGTTGGAGCATTAAGACTGGTGCTCATGGGAAAAAGTACTACAAGCCCGTCCGCAGGTGGACACAGACTTTCCCCAGTGGATTACTTGTAACAGTGTTGTTTGAGGCAGTCAGTGCTGTGAGAGTATTAACGTCCCAGAGGAAGATCTGTCTGTCCAGCCCAGCAGAAGCCACCAGTTCCTTGTCCTTGGCATAGGCTAAGGCTTTCACATAATCCTGCAGCAAAACAGAGAAGCCAATGAAAACGATGGGCAATATGCCTACAGCTACCTCTTACAGTCCAGATCAAAGACATGAGGAGAATCCCCTGGAGGGGCTTTACCTTGTGTGTCCTTAATGTTGACATGCAAAATCCCTTATGGGCATTCCACACTTTCACTGTCGTGTCAGAGGAAGCAGATATTACTAGAAGAGGCAAAACAATGGAAATGAGCAAAATATATTAGCAAAGCCTACACATGAAACTTTTAACCATTTTGATCTTCTTCCAATAACATGCTAAGAATAATGTAACGATATTTTCTAAAATGTCCATTAACAATGGCAAAATAAAAGGAAGGCTCTGAATTTCACGAGACGACATTTCACAGCATCAGTTATATCTAAAAAACTGACTGCATGATTACAGGAGGCAGCAGGTAGGGCCAAGCACCAGCAGTTCATGTGAAAAAGATCAAGAGGTTTCAGGTGCCCGCAAGGCCCGTGTCACCAACAGTATGACCTTGTCAGCCAAAAAGGCACTCTTAGGTTTCATGAACAGAAACAGAATTTTCAGAACAGGGAGATGATGCTTTCATGGGACTCAATGCTCACCAGGATGCAGAGAAAGTATTATGTCAAGTTCTACAAGCTATATTTTGGGAGGGATCATGGAACAGATCCAAGAGGGTGACCAGGATAGGGAGGGATCTCAAACCATGTCACATTAACGTTGATTTGCAAGAGCTGGGGATGCTGAACCGTCAAAGAGAAGACAACAGGTATGCGGATAGTACAACAAGTGTCTCCAAGTGTCTCAAGGGGCTGCTACACAGCAGAGGGATTAGACCCATTCTGCATGGCTACCTCAGGGGACACACTTCAGCTCAATACAAGAAAGAATTTCCTAATCCTCAGAGCTGTCCAAACATGGAATGGGCGGCTTCATGGTGTAGTGAACTCCCTGTGGTTGGAGGTATTTGAGCAGAAGCATGATGACCACTGGTGATTTGTACTTTAGAAAAGGGGTTGGATTAAGTGACCTTTAAGGTCCTTTCCAACTCTGAGATTCTATGACATCTTGGGGAAAGTTTTCACACAATAAAATTACTTCCCTGTCTCAGAAGACGCCCTACAAAAATACCTGCTCTGCATGTAACAAAGCTGCTGCGACAAAACTCAAATAAGCAACAAAATATCTTGATGAAATCAAAGCAAAGATGAATACAGAACTGTGTCTTAAGAATTTAAACCAGAATGCGTAATGATATTCATCGGAGGAGCTGTAACAAGTAACAGAACACTTTGTAACTCCCCTTGCCATCAAGAAATACTTACATGTTTTCCCATTACAACAAAGTACGATATCGTTTACCCAATCGGTGTGGTGCTCCATGGACGCTATGTAGGGATCTTGCTGAAACGCAAATAAAAAAGAAATGTGATGCCTTCAAGCAACGTATACAGAGGAAACATTAAACAAGACAAGACTTCAACAGGAAAACTGGATTTGGATGAAGAGGACCAGATTCGGGAATCTGAGAGGCAGTTCTGTCCACACCTGCAACATATTTAACCTCTCCTAGAAGACCTCCCAGTGTAGGGGAAGTACATGCACTTCACTAAAGGCCTCATTCCCCGATGACTATGCTCTGAGTCTGGCCATCTAACTAATTTCTTTTTAAAAAATGTTCCTTAAAAATTTATCATATATTGATTTTAAAATTTAAAATTTTTGAGTTCCACATTCTCTCCCTCCCTCCAATCCCTTCCCCATCCACTGAGAAGGCAAGCAAAATATCAATTATACATATGAAATATTATAAAACATATTTCCATATTAACTGGGCTGCAAAAAAAAAAGGAAGAAAAAAAGAAAGTGGAAACACTTGTACTTCAATCTGCACTCAGAGTTAATCTGATCTCTCTCTGTGGATGGGCAGCATTTTTCATCACAGGTCCTCTGGAATGGTCTTAGATCAGTCTTGATCACAGCAGTTGAGTCTAGGGTGTGTGGGGTGTTAAGAGAGGACTAGCCCCTCTGATGCCCACCTGATTTGCCCAAGTCTCATGTGCAGTGGCCACGCCAAAGTAAACAATCTGGCAGATAGGCTAAACCAGATTAAGGATAACTGACAGGTTTCATCATCTATTCAACAGTTATTTATTAAGAAATCTATGAAGTAGGGAGCAGCTAGGTGGCGCAGTGGACAGAGCACCGGCCCTGAAGTCAGGAGGACCTGAATTCAAATCTGGCCTCAGACCAAACACTTCATATTTACTAGCTGTGTGACCCTGGGCAAGTCACTTAACCCCAATTGCCTAAAAATTTAAAAAATGAAAAAAATTAAAAAAAATCTATGAAGTGGACCTCGCTGTGGGAGTGTCCAGGCTGAAGGAGAAGTAGTCCCTGCCCCCTAGGAATATACAACCTTGTGACTAATATAGACAATATTTCTGTGCATGAAAGACCTGTGGAACAATTTAAGGGTTAAATCACACGCTACAGGGACTGAAAGAGTAATCAAGAATGAAGGCTCAGCAGAAGAGACGGGAGAAGCTTTGAAGTGCATGTGAAGCTTCCAATGAGGGAAAAGGCATGAGGAGGAGAAGGAGCAGATACTCTCACGGCAGGAAAGGTGGACACTGGCCTGACTAGGAATGGACAGGAGGCGTGGCCAACTCTTGAGCAGAGCAGCAAGCTTTGTGGCTTGGCTTATCCTTGCTTTTGCTTGACTTGCTTTTTTATCTTCTCTGTTGATTCATGTTAAGCCGGAGTCCAGTAATACTAGAAAGGGAAGAACCTTCTAAGAGCCTTGTGCTGACACGAACCCAGTGTGGAAGGATTCACACCACTAGACTCATCTCTTTACGGCAGAAAGGAGCTCTTCTAATAAACACAGTCTACCTTGTTCTCGCTAGCTACCCAACCCCCAATTCCTGGGGTCAGAGCAGCCCTGCTTCAGTTCCTTATTGTACTGCAAAATCCCTTAGCAGCCAAAGAGAGTAAACAGGTGATGCTTAGACACATGACAAACTTAGGACATGTGAAAAGCTGTCCTGAGGTGATGTGGCTAAGCTTCCATGGCCCAGCCTTACCTTGTGCTGGCTGACACTCCATATTCTAATGATAGAGTCTCTCCCAGCAGTGAATAGTCGGTTTAATGCTGGATCCAGCTGAAGAGCGTTGACTCCATTCCGGTTACATTTCTCTACTTCATCTCTAATGACATAAGACACCTGAAAGAGAGTCAACAGCTGGTTTTTAGGCAGTTTGGAAATACATGGGGAAATAAACACAGTCTACCAGGATCCACCTGACATACTGAAGCCAGTGCTTGCTAATGAAATAGTCTTGCTTTTAATGCACAAGATAAATTTCAATTTGGCTTTTGCCCAATAAAGTTAACATGATAAGGTAAAGGACAGAATTCCTTTAAGGAGGTTTTCGGAAAGGGATGCACACAGCCAGATGTTGGCTACTTGCTTCACCTCCGTCTTGGTGTTTATAAAGAGTTCCACGGAGTTTGCATGGTGTGACTAATATCAATTTCTAGGTTTTCTACATCTGCAGAATGGGGATAAAAATAACACCCACTCTATAGCCAATGCCCACATGTGGCTGCCCTCCAAAATAAAAGGATATTCACATTTTCATTGCTTAGAAGCACAACTGAAAGAGAAGGCCCAATCATGAAGCCTAACAGTACACCGTGCAGAGCTCTACACTGGGCTCGAGTTCCCACTGTGGGACCTTGGGTATGTCATTTCACTTTGTCTGGGAGGAACCTGAACATCAGTCTAACAATCCTCTCATCTACATCTCTAGGATTCCAAAGAGGCCACCAGCTCATCCAACAGGACCATTAGATGTTTGCCTGGTGAGGAGCAGATTTTGTGCAAGGTAAATAATAAAATTTCATTTATTTAAAAAATACTCGAACTCAACTTCCATGAGCCAAGATGCAGAGTAAGAAGTAAGTGCTCTCATCCTCTCTTATTGACCTCTGAAAGCCCAAAGATATTGCCCCAGGAAAAACCCTAGAATAGCCGAGGCAGCCAAAAGACGGAGTGCAGCAGTCTCATAGCCCAGGAAGCTTGGCAGATTAATGGAAAGGTCCCTTTCACTCTGGGGGAGGGGAAGCAGTACATGATGGGAGGTGTCCCAGAAAGCCAGCAGCAAGCCCCAACTCAGCAAACCAGGGGGAGATCCTGAGCCCCAGGGTGGTGGAGTAGGCAAATGCCAACCCCCCCATCCCGCTCCCCACTGCCAAGAGCCTCAGCACAGGCAGGGGAACTGGTAGACACCACCACGTGTGCCAGCATTCTCCAGCAGTAAAATCTCCCCGTGCCTCAGCACAATTCCAAGAAGCACAACCCCAGGAGGCATAGCTCCAGGCTGGCAGACATCCTCCAGCAGCCAAACATTCGAGTGCTTTAAAGAAGTCTGGGTGAGCAGATGTCCTCCAGCAGCCAGATTCCCCATCTCCACCCCAAGAGCTCCAGTGTTGCTGACTCCAGCTCAGTAAGTTGCCACAACCCTACAGCCTCCAGCTGCCAGCAGTTAAGGCCCCAGCACACAAAGCCAGTGACTAGGTCCGGGCTCCCAGCACAAGAAGCCTGGGTCACTGCTCCCTGTGCTCCAGCAGGAGAGCTCAACTTTAAAAGCCAGGAAATTGGCAAACACCATGAGCAGAAAGCAGAAATGGACACTGATCACAGATTCTCATTATGGGAACAGGAAAGATCAAGGCACAAATTCAGAAGAGGACAACATTGTCAATATACCTATATCTGAAACCTCAAAGGGGAACGTGAACTGGTCTCAAGCTCAAAAAGCCTTCTTGGAAGAGCTCAAGAAGGATTTTAAAAGTCAAATAAGAGAGGTAAAAGAAAAACTGGGAAAGGAAATGAGAAATATGCAAGAGAGAGTCAATAGCTTGGAAAAGGAAGGAGAAAAAATTGAGTGTAGAAAACAAGTCCTTAAAAAATAAAACTGGACAAATGGAAAAGGAGGCACAAAAACTCACTGAAGAGAACTCCTTAAAAAGTAAAATGGGCCAAATGGAAAAGGAAGTACAAAATCTAATAGAAGGAAACAATTTGTTAAAAATTAGAATTGGGCAAATGGAAGCTAATGACTCTATGAGATAGCAAGAACCAATCAAACAGAAACAAAAAAATGAAAAAATATATGAAAACATAAAATACCTCACTGGTAAAACAACTGACCTGGAAAACAGATCCAGGAGACACAATTTAAAAATTATTGGTCTACCTGAAAATCATGATGAAAAAAAGAGCCTGGACAGCATCTTTCAGGAAATCATCAAGGAAAACTGCCCTGAGTTCCTAGAACCAGAAGGTAAAATAGTCATTGAAAGAATCCACCCATCACCTCCTGAAAGAGACCCCAAGTTGTACTGTAGCCAAATATCAAAATTACCAGGTCAAAGAGAAAGTACTGCAAGCAGCCAGAAAGAAACAATACAAGTATCATGGAACCACAGTCAGGATTATGCAGCATCTTGCAGCTTCTACGTTAAAAGACTGCAGGTCATGGAACACGATATTCCATAAGGCAAAGGAGTTTGGATTACAACTAAGGATCAACTACTCAGCGAAACTGAGCATAATCTTTCAGGGGAGGAAATGGACATTCAATGAAATAGGGGACTTCCAAACCTTCCTGATGAAAAGATCAGAGCTCAACAGAAAATTTGATCTTCAAATACAAGACTCAAAAGAGGCATAAAAAGGTAAACAGGAAAGAAAAAATATGTTATTAATAAGGTCAAACTGTTTACATCTGTACAAAGGAAGATGACACCTGGAACTCTTGAACTGTATCTTTATTAGGACATTTAAAAGAGGGTATACATAGACAAAGGGTGTGAGTAGAAGTTGACTGATGTGATAGTAAAAAAATCTAATCAAGTGGTAAAAAGGGATTGTTCTGGGAGAAGAGGAAAGGAGGAGGCAGACAGGGGTAAATTACATCACATGAAAAGGCACAAAAACCTATTACAGTAAAGAGGAAAGAAGGGAAGGAGATGAGCATTGTTTGAATCTTACTCTCATCAGATTTTGGCTCAAAGAGGGAATAACATAATCAGTTAGGTATAGAAATCTAATTAACCCTATAGGAAGTAGAAGGGGAAAGGGGAAAGAAAAAGGAGGGGGCTGATAGAAAGGAGGACAGACTGAGGGAGACGGTGGTCAAAAGCAAAACTCTGGTGAGGAAAACGGAGAAAGGAAAGAGAAAAGCATAAGGCGGGGGATATAGGATGGAGAAAAAGACATAGATAGTAATCATAAATGTGAATGTGAATTGGATGAATTCTCCCATAAATTGGAAGTGGATAGCAGAGTGGATTAAGAACCACAACCCTACAATATGTTGTTTAATTGGAAATTGAGGGGATGTTTGTCAATTGGAGGATGGCTGAGCAAGTTGTGGTATATGAATGTAATAGAATACTATTGTGTTATAAGAAATGATGAGCAGGCAGATTTCAGAAAAACCTGGTAACACTTACATGCACTGATGCTGAGTGAAGTGAGCAGAACCAGAAGAACGTTGTACACAGCAACAACCATATTGTGCAATGACTAGCTCTGACAGACCTAAGATATCTCCAAAAGTCTCACGAGGGAAAATGCTATCCACATCCAAAGAAAGAACTACGGAGTTTGAATGCAGATCAAAGCATATTATTTGCTCTTTTTTTCCCCCTCTTCCGTTTTGTTTTGTTTCTTCTTTCTTGTGGTTCCACCCATTAGTTCTAATTCTTTTTTACATTGTGACTAATGTGAAAATATGTTTAATACAAATGTGTAAATAGCGCCTATATCAGACTGCGTACTGTCTTGGGGAGGGGGGAGGAGAGGAAGGGGGAAAAAATTTAAAACTCAAAATTTTATGGAAGTGAATGTTGAAAATTAAAAATAAATTAATTTTAAAAAATTCATTGAAACAATTAAAAAATACCCTAGAATTCATAATTTCCATTAGTTTTTATAAACTTTGCTTTCAAACAGTCAAAACTAATCAAGTTTTATGCTCCATCTTGAATGATAGTAGGACAAAATCTAGAACCTCATCCTGGGAGCTTGGTGAATCACCCTGATGGGTAAATGTTTAGGTAATATCTGGGTAAAAGTCATACTGACTTGGTTGTCCTTCCATCTGTCTTGGTGAGGAAGGAGGGTAGTAGTTGAGAGATGTTTGTTAAATGAGAAATGGCTGTTAAATGTAGCAGATAAAAGAACGCTACTGTGGTTCTATAATTCCTTCTCTGATGCAGTGATGTGGAATAGCACATACAATGCATACTGTCCCCACGAAGGCAGGGCCATGGGCACTTTTGGCAACCTGGTAAATTTTTAGAACTTGTAGGCAAAAATGGTTATATTATGATTGATATATTTGGTAATATTTTTGGCCAACATAGTCAAAGCTGAATAGAGCTCTCAAGCTTTCTTTCTTCACACTAAAGCAGTAATATCATAAAACAAGAAGGAAATTGATCTGGAATATAAGTTCTTCTACTCATCTTAATTCCCCCACTGAGTGTTGTCATATGAATCAGTGCCACTAAGAATTTTATGCCAGAAGGTGAGGAAGGTGAGGAAGGTGTGGCGAAAGGAAGGAGAGAAAAAAAGGAAGAACAGAAAAGGGGGAGGAAGAAAAATCAAGAGTGAAAGAAAGGAGAGCCCAGGGAATGAAGGAAGTCACTACTTGAGATACCACTGGTGAGAGGATAAATGACAAATAAAACCATGTATGGGTCCATGTGTGTTACTGAACTAGTCCACAAAGAGCCCAGAGGGAAACTGAGACTCTCAGAGTAGACAGGATGAAAGAAGCCATCCAGTCCCTTAATCACCTTGATAATCTCTCCTACCTGTGGCCATCCATTCTTCCTACACTTCCTAGGACCACAGAATCACCAATTTTGAGCTGGAAAAGACCATGGACTCACCTTGCCCAACCCTGTCATTTTATAGATAAGGAAACAGGTCCAGGGAGGTGACTTGCTCAGGATGACACATCGAAGGAAGTGGTAGTTTTGGGTTCCGCGCGCTTTCCATTGTAGCCCATTGCCTCCCCTATGGGAGGCAGGACCCTCTACTTGTGGACAGCTCTCACGGTTGGGAAGTGTTTACTTAGAGGAGCTAAAATCAGCCTCTTTGACACTTCTTGGCATGCCTCCTGGGGCCACTCTGGACATGCTTCT